GGCGACGACCGTAAGCACACACACACACACATACACGTTTTATTCATTCCCGAGCAAAAATGTATCTAGTAGAGCAGATTTCAAGTCTAGTAGCTAGTAGTTACTAGATAGTAATGACTAGATAAGTTTTCTAGTCAATCACTAGCTCGTGATTGGCTAAATATTTCTACTCAATCTTTTGAATGTCAGGACTATCTGTCAGTAACTATACCAATTACATAGATAGTGGCTAGATGAAAAAGAATACACAATAACGAGATAGAAAATCATCAGTAAGTCCTGAATAGAAATTATGGATATCAGAACTGTTTAGTAACTGTACCAATTATAGTTACAAGTTATTTTTTTGTATCTAGCTACTAGATAATTTTTCTGGTATAGCCACTAGGAGAAGTGAGCGTTACATTCCTAGCTAGTAGTGATGTAAGACACAACTTTTCTGTGTCATTACTAGACAATCACTAGATTCAATTTTTGCTCGGGTTCATTCACTCACTCTCCATTTATCGTTAGAAACGTAAACGTATCGACTCTTTCTGTTTTATTTGTCGCACTTTATTTTACTTTTCGGAATCTTTATCTTGTAAGACAATACTGCATTTTTTGTTTGGTCATTAAATTACGTTTCTATCGAACTCTTATTCTCAAGTTTATTTTCATTATTCCCCCAAAACCCTACGCGCATTCGATAACTCGGTATTTCGATTTCGTAAACCGCTCGGTCAAGTCGAAGCCAAGAAAGTGACAGCAAACTGTATCGCGCCTTAGAAGACATAACAAAATATATATGTATGTACTTTTTATTAATACTACACGGAAAAAAAAGATTTGGTTGAATTAACCAAATATCGAATATGAAAATATGTCAAATACGAACGGTCCAGAAATTCCGATTGAAGTAACCCAAATTCTGTTTAAGTTAATAAGATTTTTGGCAAACTAACCAAACATGTCAGGTTATTTAACCATTGTTTATCTACTTAACCGTTTATCTACTTGATTATTATTTCTTATTTTGAAAAATACTTTATTCGTGTAGTACATAATCTTGCAACTCCATTAATATTTTTATGTCACTACGTTACACTTCTCTCCCTCTTCCGTTACATTATTCACTAAACACGTACGTGAGATAACTCGAAATAACGGCATAAAATATTCCCGACAATCACGAGATCGCGAAGAGGAAAACTTTCCGCGCTTGTCGCCCCGTATAATTCGTCGAGAAACGGCCAAATTGAATTTTCCTAAAATTATCGCAGCTAACGGAACGTCCTATATATGATTTCGCGGAAGGCGCCCAGGAAACTCCCAGCGAATGAATTATTGCGGTGTGCCTAGCGAGAGAGTTTATCGACTATAATACTACGGTTCCGTCTTGCGCCGTGCTCGCCGCCAGATATCTCATTGTAGCTGGCGAAACTATAGATCTCGCAGAGTGTACAAATCCTTATGCACAATACTCGCTAGTTCCCTCTTATCGATCCTACTTCTCCTCCTTCTTCATCTTTTCGCCGTTTTCGAACGCCTTTTTCTTTGAGTTATAATTATTGCGTTAAAAAAAAGATGTAGAAAAGTCTATACTATATCTCTCGAAGGTTACTTCTCGCTATTGTGAAAACGCAGTAACGAAAATAACGCGCATATCGATGTAAATTGAAGTTCTTCTCGACAGCTGCTGCGCTAAAGCGATCACTATAGCAGCGTTACGTAAAATACCATATGTTACCGTGTCGCTATCAGCACAACTGCCCTCCTCGTTCAACTCATATCGAAAATTTCCGCAAATCAATAAACGCGATAATAACACAAGAGGACGTGGATGACGGGCTTATAATCATGTAACGTGTGCCAATTTATCTCGTTAAATATCTGTTACAACGAACTCTAAACCGCGAAGCGGTTGCTCCGTTATGACCACTCTCTTTCTCTCTCCCTCACTTTACCCCAATGTTTTTCGAGGCGCGCGTTCCGCGACCTCGTGGAAAAAGTATGGCGATTTTCCCTTGTGTTGGGAAAAACCGCCGCATTAGAGACCCGCGCGCGCGCATGGTTTCGCATATTTATTTTATAAGCGTGCGCCGGCAGAAATATGTGTGTCAAGTACGTGTAACGAACGGACTGACAGACAAATGGACGGCCGGCCGGTCGAGTGCCGGATCAATACTCTTTCTGGACGGGTCGTGTAAAAAAAAGAAAACGTGCCGTAAATTTCAAAAGTACATCTACGCATATTGCGTATGGTTTACGTGATGTATGCACGGTCTTTTTTTACAATATAAACTATATAGAATATTATAAATTATATTAAAATACTCAAAAAAGCATACAACATCCAAAATCCAATATCATAGGGATATCCTAAAGATATGTTTGGGATATGCGATATCTTCAAGATATCCCTATGATGTATTTAGGACATTTTTACTGTATGGGATTAGATTATAAGATAACAACCATATCTGTTTTGGCATTAAAGCCCCTGACTACTCGCCGCGAAACTCTTGAATGATAATGAACTCTTGATTGATAATGTCAGAAACGAAGAAATGTGTGTCTAAAATTCCTACAAAGTAGGAAATAAAAAGATACGTTTAAAAAATGATATTTACGATCAATTAAGCATGCTTATAAAATAACCGAACCCTTTCCTTTCGTTCTAACAGTTAATAATGTTACGATCATTTTCTTTCGAATTTTTTGTATACTATCTAATAGTATCTTGAAATTTGACCGTTTTGTTTATGTTTAAAGTCTTCTCAGTGTCATAACTCAAATATGTTTCAATGCATTTCCTCATCCACTACAATAGAAAAAAATACATGCTTTTCTATTAAAAAAAATACGGGAATCTTCAAAACAATAAAAAAAATTTTCGCAAAAAATTATCTCCTATGGTATTTCTCCTTCGGAATCACTCAAATTGCTTTAAACATTTCTCGGTATCATAAAAATGTATCGTATTAAAAATAAAGAAAATATTTAAGTTCTCTTTATGCTGGGATACCCTGTACATTTTTATTTCGTCATACTTTAAGAATTTTAAGCTTGCATTTCCTCTTTTAACATCATAAATCAAGATGGCCGCGACGAGTAGTTAGGAATCTTAAGATTCAACAATAAAAGCGAAAAAATATACTCTAAAAATTCTTGCAAAATACGTTGAAATAAAAAGACATAAAATGACATACCCATAAAATATATACCCTCAAAATTTGCAATCGATCGGGCACATTTCCAGTGAGAAATGACTCGTTGATCGACGTCGTTTCGAATCAATACCATGTTAGTTTTTTATGATTATTTAATCAATAAATAATCATAAAAAACTAACATGATATACAACCTATATTTTAACCTGTTTTTTCATAATTCTATTATGTTAATTTTACGGTTATTTATTGATTGTTAGAGCACTATGGAAGTGTTCAGATTATTTACAAATCTGCTAGATTGATTGCAAATTTTATTTTCTGAACATATAATTTTATCTCAATGTAATTTGCAGGAATTTTTCTAAATTCTAATGTCATAAATCACGATGATCGTGGCAAAGAAACATAAGCCTTGATCGTAAATGTAATGCTTAAAGATTACATATTACATAAAATTTTTATTTTATTATGTGACAGATTGACAAAATTGATAACCCTCTGACGATAAGAATGTAATTGGAGAATTTTTTAGACTCTAACTTGTTTAAGAAATAGCATACACATTCCAAAATCAGTTTTGGAATCTCTGGTTTTAGTTATAAGTTTACCAAATCTTAAACCAACTTAGATACGTTTCGTAAGCGATCATCTGATTCATGTGATTAATTTCACAAAATTATTTCTGTTTATGAAATTATTTTTTACTAATTATAACAGCTATCGAATCTTCTCGAATTTCCCGATCGTAAAGTCGATCGCATGAATCAGCTGATTGATTACGAAACGTATCCAAATTAGTTTAAAGTCTATCAACTTTATAACTTAAACCAGTTTCCGAAATCAGTTTCGAAACATACCCAACATACGTAAATTTAAATAAAGGTTAGATAAAAATAAAAACATTTCTTAATCATATTTTGTATCATAATTTACTCGTAAACGTCCAATCCTGTTTAAAAACGCGGCCAGCTCGCGAGGAAACGTCGATAATGAAACACATACGGTCTGCCAGTGATATTGATTATTATTATTCTCAAGTAGGAGCTATAACGTACGAGAAAACGACCCAATATTCGTCGGTGCCTTGAGACAATCCTGACGCTGTAGCGTGGAAAAGTTACAAGTTTCGTAATCTAACCGATATTTTTATCGCCTTTATCGAATACGGGAGATATCTTGCCGTATCCACCGTCGCCGGTCACGAATGTCTGCCGGTTAATCAAAATAATCGTAACGACGACGTGCAGTAAGAACATCGTGGTCGATCATCGATCAAACTACATCACTACTTTCAAAAGAATGCCCTTCTTTTTTTATTTTTTTTTTTTATTATTTCTTTCTATTTTATCGAATATATCTATAAACTGTTAAAATGTGCGCACAGGAGCAATTCGACATAGTTTTTAGAGAGAAAGCAAGAGCGGTATCGATGTAAATGTAACGGTTAGTACAAATGCAGTGTTCGCTGAGAGACAGATGTTATGGATTTCTTATCGAAGCGCCTTCTTTCTTTCTTTCTCTTTCTTTCTCTCTCTCTCTCTCTCTCTCTCTCTCTCTCTCTCTCTCTCTCTCTCTCT